ATAAAACGAATGCAGTTCAATAGAGAATGATGCTTCCGTTTGATTTTTGCTAATTACCGATGCCATAGTAAATGTCCAGCTGCTTGACCGTGTCCTCATAGTTGATGGTCTTCAGAAATTGATCCAGATTGATGTCCTCCAAGCTATTGTGTCTGCCACTTGTCGATATACCACTGTTTGTGGCGCCTCCTCCAGCTGCGCTCCCGCCAGGTGTTGTAACTAATACGCCGAGTCTGTAGGGCAAATTTCCATGCGGCTTGTTAATGTTGAAATTGAAAATATTATAAATCATTCGAGTGCTTACGATTTCGGCACATTACGCATTGTAATGGCTGCAATTAAACGCCTTCTCTGGCTTTAATTGCCAGCTTTAATTAAAAGTGTATACGCAGAAGAAAAAGTATACCCTTCAAGAAGTCAAATGTGATTTGCAATGAGACCAGCTGCTCGCACAGACACATGCGCGCATTTCACAAGGTGGCAGCATGGGCACTCAATCTTCTCATGCATGTGTGACGTCAGAGTGTGTAATGATGTTGTAATGCTCACGAAAGCACTTTAAGGAATTTGTAATTAATGTATTTGGGATTGCATATTAAAGAGCTTTGTATATATGTAATATTAAAGTCTAGTCGCTCCTACCACTCAGTCTATTTCGAATTTCATTGTGCGCGCGTAACCTTGTATTTGCTCATTGTTATGCGTAATATGGCCACTCTGTCTCTTGAACAGCTGTTACGAACAGCTGCTGGTTCCAAGCAGGTTTTTCTTGTGCCTCTCTTTTTCGTCTTGGCATGTAGCACCTTTTTGATGGACGGGCGCGACGGCTGCTGTCGTTGGAATTAACTAAATCATAATCATCATCTATCAGCCGAACAAGTGAGATCATCTGCCCATTGTTGGCCATGAAATGCAGCCGCTGATGTGAAATGTGAAGAGCTGCAAGTAGAAATCTCAGTCAACGAAACGAATGTACTTAAAATAGTCTTGTAAGGATGCTGACACTGCTAATACTCTTCAATGCGCTTCAGCTGAGCCAGATACTTGCCCAAAGCAACTCGGATGTGGTGAAGCTGCCCAATTTGCCATCCGATCATCTCATACGCTACCTCAACACCTTTCCCAAGCTCAAAAAACAAGTGGAAGAGATTCGCGTGGAGTCGCGCGCCTGCTGGGGACATGAGCGGAATTGCAGCGCCGAGGCGCGCTTCCAGACGCCTCACTGTCCCGGTGAACATACCGGCTGGGTGCAGAGCAAGGAGGCGCAGGTGCAGACCTTCTACTACCAGGCGGACTTCGGCTTCATCCAGCAGCAACTGTCGGAGCTGACGCCTCAATGCATGCCCAAGTATCTGTCGGACTCCTCGCTGGAGTGCACGCGCTACCTCCGCTTCTGCCGTGGTCGCAACTTACTCATCGATCTCCGTGATCTGCCGCAGCGCAAGGAGCGCATCCGATACCACATGGATGTGCTGAAGCCTGGCCAGATTTTGGGCCACTGCGAGCTGAATCGCACGCGCCTCCAAGGCGAAATGGAACACATAGGCTCGGCGCTGCAGTCGTGGGCGCCGGAGCTGCGCTACTTCGATGTTCTGCCCCAGCCGGTGCTGGAGAGCGGAGCTTGCGACCTGGTCGTCAACGCGCCCACCTTCATCATGAAGATCGACGCCACCTACAACATGTATCACCATTTCTGCGACTTCTTCAATTTGTATGCCTCGCTCTTTGTCAATCAGTCCCATCCGGCTGCATTCAACACAGATGTGCAGATTCTCATATGGGAAACATATCCGTATGATTCACCTTTCCGGGACACGTTCAAGGCTTTCACCCAGCGCCCCATTTGGACGCTGAGCGAGGTGCAGGGCAAACGGATTTGCTTCCGCAATGTTGTTTTGCCGCTGCTGCCGCGCATGATCTTTGGCCTGTTTTATAATACGCCCATTGTAAGTGGTCAATGCTGCAGTATTATCTTATCTTAATCCTTATCTCTTATCTTGCTCCACAGATTCAGGGTTGCTCCAATAGCGGACTCTTTCGCGCCTTCTCTGAGTTCATTTTGCATCGACTACAGATTCCCTACAGGCCGCCGCCTGTAAGGAAGCTGCGCATCACTTATCTATCTCGTCGCACAAAGTACAGGCAGGTGCTGAATGAGCAGGAGTTGCTTGCCAGGCTTGAAGCCAATGAGGAATACGAAGTACAGCGCGTCTCCTACGAACGGTAAACTATAGATATACTCTTTAGTGTTCTATATATCATTTAACTATATTCGTACAGCCTCTCCTTTCTTGACCAATTGGAGATCACAAGAAATTCGGACATGCTCATTGGCATGCATGGCGCTGGACTGACGCATTTGCTCTTTCTGCCCAATTGGGCTTGTCTGTTCGAGCTGTACAACTGCGAGGATCCCAACTGCTACAAGGATCTGGCACGCTTGCGTGGCGTACACTATGTCACCTGGGAACATCGCGATCTGGTTTATCCACAGGACGAGGGGCATCATCCGGATGGAGGTGCTCATGCCAAATTCACCAATTATCGCTTTGACGCGGATGAGTTTGAGCGCCTGGTGGCTCAAGCAGCCACGGCGGTGCGTGCCCATAAGGATTACCAGCAGGCAACAGCAGCACTAGCACAGCATGATGAGCTTTAGTTTAATCCTAACGCCTTGTGATTTGTTTGACCAATGCATTTATTTGTTTTTAAAAGTAAACTGACTATCGATATGACACTTTTGAAATTCGATAACATTTCGATTGTGGCGGCAGTTTATATGTCATCTGATGAGGGCTGCAACGACTGCAAATCACAAATATCTGTTCTTGCGAACAATGTGATTAATAAGTTTAGTTTTAAATGAACAAACATAATTGATACAACATGAATATCGATTGTCTTTAATTAAGAAATTTTATAATAGAAAATTAATTGTTTTGAAATTATAGTTCTTTGGTAAATTCCCGCCCCTGTGGCAGCGTCTGTAAATCAGCTGTTTTTTGTTTATACGCGTTTGCAAAAACAATTGGAAGTTGATGTAAACTTTATCTTAAAGACCGGTTACTTACACTATATTTGGTTTATTATGGATCATCAGGAAGCTACCTACACTACAATCGATCACTACGATGCCTGCGTTACAGCAGATAAATGTCTGCTATCCGCGCCGCTTCACATCTTCCAAAGCTACATGGAGCAAGCTGTCTGCAGTTCGCTGGATATTGAAACGATGCGAAAGGGCCCTTCCTACTGTCCCTGGGCTATTCTACGAGCCAGTTTAAGTGTTCTGCCGATAATATTGCCTACGTTGCTGGGTCTCACATTATCGCAACTGCTATGTCAACACTTGTCGCAGCGGTCTCTGCGTCGTTTCCTTCTGGAATTCCTTCTGATCACCCTGCCCACCGTCTGCAGCAATACAGTGGCCAATTCCTATAATAACCACTACTGCATAGTGGTTGCAACATTGATTGCCCTGCTGCTCCTGCGCTGTGGAGCTTGGCGAGGAGCTGCAGCCAAACACAGCTACGAGGTTGGAAAGAAGCCAGCGGCGATAACCCTGCTGCGGGCAACGTCTTACATCTGCACTGGCTGCGCCATCTTGGCTGTGGACTTCAAAGCCTTTCCCATTGAGTGGCGCAAGAGTCGTGAGTATGGCGCCTCCCTAATGGACGTCGGCATAGGCATGTTCGTCATGTCGATGGGCGTGGTCTCGCAGCGTGCCCACAACTGGGCTGACATGCGGCGGGTGCTGAAGGTTGTGCTGCCCCTGTTGATGCTTGGCTTGGCACGCACTGTGGTCATCACGCTGATCAACTACCACCAGGACGAGCATGAGTACGGCACACATTTGAATGCCTTCTTTACGCTGGGCCTCACCAAGCTGCTGGCCAGCCTCTGCAGTCTGCTCGCACGCTCCGACAAGCAGCTGTTGCCACTGTCACTGGGTGAGTCGTCGTTTAGCTAGAGGGTCCGACTAAACTAATCGATATCATTTACAGCCATTCTTATGCTCCACGAGCTGTTCTTGCAGCAGGGGCTCGCAGCGTATGTCATGTCATCAGCCAGCCGGAGTAGTTTCCTAAGCGCAAATCGCGAGGGTCTAAGCGCATTGCCTGGCTGCATCTCGCTCTATCTGCTCAGCGTCTGGGGCGGCAGGTGGTACAAGGCTATGGATAAGCTTAGCTACGAGCAGTTCCTAGCCAAGCTGCGCAAAATCCTGCTGGTAACAGCTGTGACCTGGCTGTTAGTCTTCGCCTGCGTCTTTCTCTGCGGCATAGCACGCGTCACCTTCAACGCGGGCTATGTCTTCTGGCTGTTCGGCATTGGCACGCTGCTGCTGCTGCTCTGCTCGTTTCTGTTCGAGCTCTGCTTGATGACGCCGCAGGAGAAGCTGACGCCCTTGCCCGCCCTTGTGGAGACCATCAATATGAACGGCCTCACATATTTCATGCTCTGCAACTTCCTGACGGGCCTCGTCAACCTAACGCTGAATCCGGCCAAGCGCAGCAGCGGCGAGTGTGTGGCCATCCTGATGCTCTACATGCTGGCCAGCACGGGCATGGTCTATGTGCTGTTTCGCAAGGGCATTCGCATTGCCTAAGCTGTTGCGATAATTGCCTGCATATGACGATAATGAAGTTCTCTTTATCTTTTAAGTATTTGCTAAGCACCAAATTCAATTGCGTATTATACATTTATAAAAATTGTTATAGCTAAAATCCAAGTTTGTTTTTCTTGTATTGTAGCACAAAATAAGTAAAAGTGTTTTCGTTGGGGTTGCCTTACGAGAAGATACCTCGTACTCGGCGTGGTACTCTTGCTTTACTTATAATGTATTTGGAATATTTGAATTCAAAAATTGTTTAATTTTTATATGTCCATCTTAATATTAAATCCATATTTTGAAATATTAAAATGCATAAATAAATATAACAATTCACAATTTACTCCATATATTTTAAATCACCTCGAACTTCCACGAAAATATTTATAAACACATGTATTTTTATAAAAATTACCCATGTATAACGGTAAAATATGCAAGGTCTATTTGTCATACAGAAATTTCGAATATCCAATGCAGAAGCATGCAGCTCTAGCAATTCGACAGCGACTCGAAGGGCATGACCTGTCCGTTGGGCGTGACCAGAAAGAGTATGACCGGTTCCTTGTCGCCCGACATGCTGCATGAGTCCGGCTCCTTGGCGGAGTTCTTGTACACCTCGTAGATGTGACAGCCGTTCTCGGAGCGCACCAGACGCGTCCACAGCCACTTCCTGCCCAGGTGCTGCAGATTGGCGGACAGCTTGGACTTGAGCCGACTATAGGCGATCGAGGCCTTCGACAGCGACACCTTCATGCGATCCGATAGGCTGATGGAGTCGGCACTCCGCCGACGATTATCGCTAGCGGGATGGGCAAAGTCGACGTGCGGCGTGCGCGGCCCGGCAGAGCAGCCAGTGGATTGGCCCACAGAGCTCCTAGACTTCCGGCTGGACGACTTGGACTTGCAGTTGCCCGTCAACTTGGCGCCGTCAAGCTTGCTCAAGCTGCTGGATTTGCTGCACTTGGACATTTGGCCCGAGGTGCAGGTGACCGAGGTGCAGCTGCTCTTGGCGCAAACAGGCGCCGGAGATCTGCATGGAGGGTTGCCTGCGGGCGGAGGGCAGTGGGAAGTGAAGGCCATTAGAGCAAGAAAGATTAAAGCAGGGTTGACTGTATGTATAGCAATTAAAATATGTGAGGTCTGTTCAAAAAGTATCGCTAGGGCTGAAGACGGATGAGCGTGACGTTTAGAAAGATAAAAGTAAATGATTTTTCATAAAAGCCTCGAAGATTCGCATCGCTCTATAATATCTAAATGGAGATTACTTCATAATCTCTACAAGAGATATGGAATAATTCGATACTTTTTAAACAGACCCGCAGAGCCAAGGTCTGGCCCACGCCTCATACCCAGCTGATGGCAGATCTTGGTGGCGCCAAAGAAGTAGAGTATACGATCCAATATCGTCATGATGATCTCATCCGGGTATGGAGCGAGTGCATTCGTGAGCGAGCACTGACCCACGCGCCGGCCACAGCAGCTGACGGCGAGCGGCGCAGCTCCGCATGTTCGGCAGGGGTCCTTCCGCACCTGGCAGCAGCAGCAGCTCATCTCTTCCTTGGTTCGATTGCAGCTCAGTTCTAGAAAATGGAATTTTATTCAAAACTTGTCTGAATTGTGTATTTGAGTGTTACTACGTAGACTATTACATATACACACATAAGTCCTATATAGTATACTTATCGGTCTGGCATACGTATTCCTCGGTCCGTTAATGTCCACTTTGCCACTCGCGCTGGCAGATGTCAGAGGTGCGATATCCGGCTTAGCGCGGCTGCCTCTTGCCTGGGCGTCGCAAAAGATAAGATTTCTATTAAGGAAATGACAGAAATTGCGCGCATTGTGTCCACGGGCGATGCTGACGATGATGCCGTGGATGGCGAAGAAGAAGAAGACGACGAAGCAGAAGAAGGTCCTTTCCTTGCCCGATGGAGCAGGGCAGGATGTTTAATTTAATGACGCAAACAAAGCAACAGTCGAGCATAGGCAGGTCAAAGGCGAACCAAGCTGAATGGGGCTGGGAATGGGAATGGGGCGCAAATGACCAGCGAATGGCCTGCGTAGAGGGTATATGCAGGGTATATTGACTGAGGCGGCGAGTTGAACGCAGCCTTGGTAAAGTAAAGAAATGAGAGTTATTAGAGAAAATAGAAAAATAAATAAAATAAAATATT